GCAATAAAAAGTTTGGGAATTGATAAGGAACATAACTTTATTCTCCGTCGAAAGTTGACTTTATTTTTAAGCGTACGCGGTATGGAAATGATTAGGTGAACTTTAACCTATTTTCCACCACTTTTATTTTGTTATAACATATGTACACTTTTAGATTACATGTACCTCTAGTAATTTCAGCAATAAAAAGTTTGGGAATTGATATGTAACATAATTTTATTATCCGTCGAAAGTTTTCTCGTTTTTCCAGAGTGAGCGGTATATAAATGATTAGGGTAACTTTAACCTATTTTCCACCACTTTTATTTTGTTATAACATATGTCCACTTTAAGGTTACATGTACCTCTAGTAATTTCAGCAATAAAAAGTTTGGGAATTGATAAGGAACATAACTTTATTCTCCGTCGAAAGTTGACTTTATTTTTAAGCGTACGCGGTATGGAAATGATTAGGTGAACTTTAACCTATTTTCCACCACTTTTATTTTCTTTTAACATATGTCCACTATAAGGTTACATGTACCTCTAGTAATTTCAGCAATAAAAAGTTTGGGAATTGATAAGGAATATAATTTTATTATCCGTCGAAAGTTGTCTAAATTTTTCAGCGTACGCGGTATGGAAATGGTTAGGGGAACTTTAACCTATTTTCCACCACTTTTATTTTGTTATAACATATGTACACTTTTAGATTACATGTACCTCTACTAATTTCAGCAATAAAAAGTTTGGGAATTGATAAGGAACATAATTTTTATTATCCGTCGAAAGTTGTCTGGATTTTTCAGCGTACGCGGTATGGAAATGGTTAGGGTAACTTTAACCTATTTTCCACCACTTTTATTTTGTTATAACATATGTACACTTTTAGATTACATGTACCTCTAGTAATTTCAGCAATAAAAAGTTTGGGAATTGATATGTAACATAATTTTATTATCCGTCGAAAGTTTTCTCGTTTTTCCAGAGTGAGCGGTATATAAATGATTAGGGTAACTTTAACCTATTTTTCACCACTTTTATTTTGTTATAACATATGTCCACTTTAAGGTTACATGTACCTCTAGTAATTTCAGCAATAAAAAGTTTGGGAATTGATAAGGAACATAACTTTATTCTCCGTCGAAAGTTGACTTTATTTTAAAGCGTACGCGGTATGGAAATGATTAGGTGAACTTTAACCTATTTTCCACCACTTTTATTTTCTTTTAACATATGTCCACTTTAAGGTTACATGTACCTCTAGTAATTTCAGCAATAAAAAGTTTTGGAATTGATAAGGAATATAATTTTATTATCCGTCGAAAGTTGTCTGGATTTTTCAGCGTACGCGGTATGGAAATGGTTAGGGGAACTTTAACCTATTTTCCACCACTTTTATTTTGTTATAACATATGTACACTTTTAGATTACATGTACCTCTACTAATTTCAGCAATAAAAAGTTTGGGAATTGATAAGGAACATAATTTTATTATCCGTCGAAAGTTGTCTGGATTTTTCAGCGTACGCGATATGGAAATGGTTAGGGTAACTTTAACCTATTTTCCACCACTTTTATTTGGTTATAACATGTGTACACTTTTAGATTACATGTAACCCAACTAATTTCAGCAATAAAAAGTTTGGGAATTGATAAGGAACATAACTTTATTATCCGTCGAACGTTGACTGGATTTTTCAGCGTACGCGGTATGGAAATGATTAGGTGAACTTTAACCTATTTTCCACCACTTTTATTTTCTTTTAACATATGTCCACTTTAAGGTTACATGTACCTCTAGTAATTTCAGCAATAAAAAGTTTGGGAATTGATAAGGAATATAATTTTATTATCCGTCGAAAGTTGTCTGGATTTTTCAGCGTACGCGGTATGGAAATGGTTAGGGGAACTTTAACCTATTTTCCACCACTTTTATTTTGTTATAACATATGTACACTTTTAGATTACATGTACCTCTACTAATTTCAGCAATAAAAAGTTTGGGAATTGATAAGGAACATAATTTTATTATCCGTCGAAAGTTGTCTGGATTTTTCAGCGTACGCGGTATGGAAATGGTTAGGGTAACTTTAACCTATTTTCAACCACTTTTATTTTGTTATAACATATGTACACTTTTAGATTACATGTACCTCTACTAATTTCAGCAATAAAAAGTTTGGGAATTGATAAGGAACATAATTTTATTATCCGTCGAAAGTTGTCTGGATTTTTCAGCGTACGCGGTATGGAAATGGTTAGGGTAACTTTAACCTATTTTCCACCACTTTTATTTTGTTATAACATATGTACACTTTTAGGTTACATGTACCTCAACTAATTTCAGCAATAAAATGTTTGGGAATTGATTTGTAACATAATTTTATTATCCGTCGAAAGTTGACTTTATTTTTAAGCGTACGCGGTATGGAAATGATTAGGTGAACTTTAACCTATTTTCCACCACTTTTATTTTCTTTTAACATATGTACACTTTTAGATTACATGTACCTCAACTAATTTCAGCAATAAAAAGTTTGGGAATTGATTTGTAACATAATTTTATTATCCGTCGAAAGTTGACTTTATTTTTAAGCGTACGCGGTATGGAAATGATTAGGTGAACTTTAACCTATTTTCCACCACTTTTATTTTCTTTTAACATATATCCACTTTAAGGTTACATGTACCTCTAGTAATTTCAGCAATAAAAAGTTTGGGAATTGATAAGGAACATAATTTTATTATCCGTCGAAAGTTGACTTTATTTTTAAGCGTACGCGGTATGGAAATGATTAGGTGAACTTTAACCTATTTTCCACCACTTTTATTTTCTTTTAACATATATCCACTTTAAGGTTACATGTACCTCTAGTAATTTCAGCAATAAAAAGTTTGGGAATTGATAAGGAACATAATTTTATTATCCGTCGAAAGTTGTCTGGATTTTTCAGCGTACGCGGTATGGAAATGGTTAGGGTAACTTTAACCTATTTTCCACCACTTTTATTTTGTTATAACATATGTACACTTTTAGATTACATGTAACTCAACTAATTTCAGCAATAAAAAGTTTGGGAATTGATAAGGAACATAATTTTATTATCCGTCGAAAGTTGACTGGATTTTTCAGCGTACGCGGTATGGAAATGATTAGGTGAACTTTAACCTATTTTCCACCACTTTTATTTTGTTATAACATGTGTACACTTTTAGATTACATGTACCTCAACTAATTTAAGCAATAAAAAGTTTGGGAATTGATATGTAACATAATTTTATTATCCGTCGAAAGTTGACTTTATTTTTAAGCGTACGCGGTATGGAAATGATTAGGTGAACTTTAACCTATTTTCCACCACTTTTATTTTCTTTTAACATATGTCCACTTTGAGGTTACATGTACCTCTAGTAATTTCAGCAATAAAAAGTTTGGGAATTGATAAGGAACATAATTTTATTATCCGTCGAAAGTTGTCTGGATTTTTCAGCGTACGCGGTATGGAAATGGTTAGGGTAACTTTAACCTATTTTCCACCACTTTTATTTTGTTATAACATATGTACACTTTTAGATTACATGTAACTCAACTAATTTCAGCAATAAAAAGTTTGGGAATTGATAAGGAACATAATTTTATTATCCGTCGAAAGTTGACTGGATTTTTCAGCGTACGCGGTATGGAAATGATTAGGTGAACTTTAACCTATTTTCCACCACTTTTATTTTGTTATAACATGTGTACACTTTTAGATTACATGTAACCCAACTAATTTCAGCAATAAAAAGTTTGGGAATTGATAAGGAACATAACTTTATTATCCGTCGAACGTTGACTGGATTTTTCAGCGTACGCGGTATGGAAATGATTAGGTGAACTTTAACCTATTTTCCACCACTTTTATTTTCTTTTAACATATGTCCACTTTAAGGTTACATGTACCTTTAGTAATTTCAGCAATAAAAAGTTTGGGAATTGATATGTAACATAATTTTATTATCCGTCGAAAGTTTTCTCGTTTTTCCAGAGTGAGCGGTATATAAATGATTAGGGTAACTTTAACCTATTTTCCACCACTTTTATTTTGTTATAACATATGTACACTTTTAGGTTACATGTACTTCAACTAATTTCAGCAATAAAAAGTTTGGGAATTGATAAGGAACATAATTTTATTATCCGTCGAAAGTTGACTGGATTTTTCAGCGTACGCGGTATGGAAATGGTTAGGGTAACTTTAACCTATTTTCCACCACTTTTATTTTGTTATAACATATGTACACTTTTAGGTTACATGTACCTCAACTAATTTCAGCAATAAAAAGTTTGGGAATTGATAAGGAACATAGTTTTATTATCCGTCGAAGTTGAGTGAGTTCTACAGATTGAATGGTAAGTAAATGGTTAGGGGAACTTTAACCTATTTTCCACCACTTTTATTTTGTTATAACATATGTACACTTTTAGATTACATGTACCTCAAATAATTTCAGCAATAAAAAGTTTGGGAATTGATAAGGATCATTATTTTATTACCCGTCGAAAGTCGAGTGAGTTCTACAGATTGAGTGGTAAGTAAATGGTTAGGGGAACTTTAACCTAATTTCCACCATTTTTATTTTCTTTTAACATGTGTCCACTTTAAGGTTACATTTACCTCTAGTAATTTCAGCAATAAAAAGTTTGGGAATTGATAAGGAACATAATTTTATTATCCGTCGAAGGTTGTCTGTACGCTAAGCGCCAATTCGTTAGCTGGACTTCTAGCTCAAAATAACTAACATTTTATTTATATATTTTTTTTATTTGTTATGCATTTAAGTATTTCCCCCATTTAAATCGTTAATATGTGCTGGAAAACGCTACATTATGTGTTATATTGTTAAAAAAAGGTTTTAAAATTTTTAATAAATTTGAGGTCTATTTCCGTTTTATTAGACTGTACACAGATTGGTTGGTGGGGGTATGGAATTCTCCGCCCGCCGTTAGCTGGCGATAGCTGTCTTCACGATCGTGATTGTCGGGCACTTCTTGTTTTGGTTAGTCAGTCAAGTCAGTCAGTTAGTTTTCGTTGTCATACTTTTTACATTTAAGTAGAAATCTTATTACTAAGTTATAATATAAATAAATAATACACAGTTGCAGAATTCGATTTATGTAGTAAACGTCTAGTCTGTCATCTCTGTTCGAGTGAGACTAACACTAAAGATACGAGTTAGGCTAAAATGCAAGTGATAGCCTATTGTTGCATTGTTTTGCCGTTGATTGATGCATTTTCCAGGTTAGCCTAACTTATTTGAAAATTTTGCACTTCTTTTACCCTGAGAACTTTACCTTGCCGGTAATCAAACTGTTAGCTAAATTAAAAAACATTCTTAGCGTGGCACACTTTGTTTATGAATGAAATCCTCGGACTAATGCCACTGATAGTATAGGTGGGCCGTGCTATAGACCTGATTCTGCTTGTTTTGCATCCATAAACGTATGATTTTTCATTAGTACTGTAAGTCAAGCAATCTTGAAATGAGAACTGATACTCAGAAGAAAGTCGAAGCTGCAAAATCGGAAGGTGCATCTGCAAATAAAGTAAGTCATAATGATTTAACTTAGGCCTAAGTTAGATTGGCTTTTTTTAGGCTAGGCCTGGCTGCACTTTACTTGACGTCCTACACTAATTCGATTGTTTTTTCGATTCGATATTTTAATTCGATTGTTTCATTCGATATATCGTTTGGTTAGTTAGGTAAGGTTAACCTTACCTAACTAACCAAAGGATATATCGAATGAAGCAATCGATATATCGATCGATATTTTCATTCGAATGAGTGTAGGACGTCAAGTAAAGTGCAGCCCTAGGCCTAGTTTTTAAAACTTGACTGAAGGAAAAACCTCGACTATATTGTTATATAGTCAATGGCCTGGTTATAACTTGGCTTAGCTGTATGTAGGCTTAGGCTAATATTAAAACGTCAACAATTTAAGAACATAAATCATCGGTAGATAGGTAGCCTACTTCTAAGTTACAAGTTATTCTACACATATTAGCCTATTTTTCTATTCTAGGCTTAACTTAAGTAAGATTAACTTAGTGAAATAGTTTCATAACTAAAGTGTGAAGTAACCATTGACTATATATACCTATAGTAATAGGCCTACCTGTAGGTATATATAGTCAATGGAAGTACCGGTAATTGCAGTTTTGCAGTACTAGAGACAGTATTGCAGTACTAGAGACAGTATTGCAGATCACAAGCATGATCTGCTGTCGGTCACTACTCCGAATGTGGATCAACATCACCAGGTGTCCTCAAAAGTGCTATCCTTCAGAGTCTACAGTGAGGAGGCAGAATTTAAACTTACAGAATACCTAGAACTGAATGCACATTTCTGGTTTGATGAAATCAAAGCATTGACGGCAAATGATGCTTTCATGTTTTTTCATGTCAACTTCAACATGGCCTTTGATCATTTTTTCCCAATAAAATGTAAAAAGGTGCATGTTGGCAAGTCAGGGGTTTCTAATAATAATGGTTTGCCTGTTGTTAAGGACTGGTATACCCCTGAACTCTCTAGGCTAAAGAACATGATAACTTTAGTTAATGATTTAGTTAGTGTAAGACCTGATCTGTCTAACTTGCTTAAGCTGCTTAGAACACAATACCGTAAGAATGTGAGGGATGCAAAGATTAACTCAAATGCCGCAAACATAACAGGGGCTTCCAATCCCTGTAAGGCGGCCTGGAATTTAATAAATCAAAATAGACCTCAAACAAAGTCTGATATTCTTGATCCGTCTTTTGCATCTGCTGATGAATTCAATTCGTACTTTGTTGAGTCTGTTGAGTCCATCTTGTCAACCATTCCAAATATAACGCAATCCTCTCCTGTGATCCTGTCAAGCATACCTAATGGTGCACCTACTTTTGAATGGAAACATGTATCGGTCCAAGACATTATTAATGCTGTTTTGGGCTTTAAACTCTCTAACAGTAAAGATGTGTATGGCATGACACCTAATCTTTTGAAACACATTGTGTGGGCACTGGCACCTATACTAGCCCATTTGGTTAATGTATGCTTTTTAGTAGGTATTTTTCCTGCTCCATTAAAAGTCTCTAGAACTGTGCCTGTCTATAAAAAAGGGTCCCGTGACAATGTTGCAAGTTATCGACCAATATCGTTGATTCCTGTATTTTCTAAACTGTTTGAAGCTATTATGTTTGCTCAATTGTACGACCACCTTGAAGCACACAGCCTTCTGGTGCCTGGTCAATTTGGCTTCAGGAAAGCCAAATCCACTATATTGGCTGTTGATTCTGTTGTACCTACAATTAATTATATTCTTGAGTGTGGCAGATTGCGTGAAAATATAATAATAATATCTAAGTTCTTACCGTCAACGCAATCAGGAGTAATATTCCACTACGGCCGTTTCGGAGATGACTCCATCGTCAGGTGCGTAGTGGTACACTAAACTATAGTCTTGTCACGTTTAACACGAGTTTTCTTCATTTGCATTGCGTCATGGGGTGAATAAATAATACACATATATGTACAGGACGGACACACGAAAACACAAATACACGAAAACATTTAGAGCACGTGCACGGCTTGAAAACTGACGACCGACTCAGAAGAAATCTCAGGCCTCCAAGTCGTCCTACTTTTCCTACTTTTTAGTAGGAAAGTAGGAAACGTCCTACTTTTTACACATTTGTCCTACTTTCCTACTTTTTTATAAAAATTATGTCGATTTTGGGATATTTTATTACACTTATTATTAATTTTACTTATCAATATTTCCCAATGAGAAGTTTTTTCCTAAAAAATATGACTGACTGAGATATATTTTTTATAAAACAATCTGTTAAATGATTTTAAATTTTAATTTATAAGTTCCAGTACTGGTAGTATCTGTATGGTTAATCTTATCAACATTGTTATTGAGTGAAAACATTTTTTTTTTTTTCAAAGACATGGCAATACTATTGTGATAGAAAATAAAAATTGTGATTATTATCAGTGCTTACTATTCTGACATGTCTTTTAGATTCCCCAATGAAGTAAACTGAGGGGAAATCAATGCTCCTGGGGAGCCCTGGGACACTAGTTCAAAAGTATTTAACTTAGCACTTATCGGTCCAGTGTTTCCCCGATTAGCCTAAACATGATTTTTTGACATAACTGTATTCAAAATAAATTAAGGCTTAAGTTCAAGTTTAAATGTCCAAGTCTCACTGGCTCAAATAGTTTTTACTCATTACAATTCAAACATTCCTACTACTTTTAAGATAGCTCTAATCTAACTAATTCAAAATACTTTTGGAACATATTTTTAGAATTTTATATTATATATAGTTCCGTACTTTATAGGCCTACTTAAATAACTATTCATGCTTCTGTTTTCCACCCAAAAAAATTCATTTTACTTTTATATTAATTTTAGTTCTGAAATATTAAATAATATAAAAAAAGAACAAATTTCTTGTTTACAGCACCATTTTAAACACAAATTAGGGCTGGTTGGTAACGTTAGGGAAACATATTTATTTTTATCCTTTATTTAATGCTGCTTGTCCTAAATATTTTTTTCGTAATGACTGTAGATAATGACACCTTAACATTTTAATTTCTCTTGTGCGTTACTTCTGAATATTTGGTGTACAATCTCAGCTAAAACTTTATCCGGCCTTTTAGTTGAAGATTTTTTAAATAAAAATAATTAATCATTGATATTAATTTTAAAATTTATATATAGAATTATTTTAGATATATTTCCAAATTGTCTGGACATATTTTGTGGACTTCTTTCTTGGGCTAAAGCCGGGTTTTCCTAGGCGCGGAAGTGGAGAGCGGAGAGAGGAATGCGGAGAGCGGACTCCACTTGTCTTAGGTAATTTAATGTTTCTGTTTTCCCAGAAGCGGAACGGAACACCATGTTAATTTCTTTTCCGCTTTCCGCGTTCCTCTCTCCGCTCTCCGCTTCCGCGCCTAGGAAAACCCAGCTTAAGACAAACATAAAATTCCATAAAAGTATGGGTCTAAAATGCCTAGATTTTAATTTGTCGGTCTGTTTGTGATTTTTAAGAATTATTTTATATCTTGGGCATTTTTCAAGATAAAACTTTTAAAATGGATATAAATGTGTATTTTAGAAGGTGATATGAGCTTGCAAAGTTTCGATCCAATATCTTAAGCCGTTTCAATATGGCAGCCATTTAAAATATTTAATGCCAAATTTAATTTGAAACCGTAAATATTTAGAATATAGTTTCCTGGATCAAAAAGATAGAGAATTCAAATACAAATCAAATGAGACCTTGTTTTTTAAAACCTGATGAGAAACAACCAAATCAGTTTTTTCTAAATTTGTTTACGCAATTTAATAGGACTACCCATACTGCTCTGAAAAATAACAAATAAGAATACAGTATGGTAGTGCTATTAAACTGTGTAACCGAATGTTGAAAAAAAAAACTTATTTATGGTTGTTTGTCATGCGATTTTATAAACAAGGTCTCATTTGATTTGGATTTGAATTCTCTATCTTTTTGATCCTGGAAACCATTTTCTAAATATTTACGGTTTTCATTAAATTTGGCATTAAAGATTTTAAATGGCTGCCATATTGAAACGGCTTGAGATATTGGATCGAAACTTTGCAAGCTCTTTTCACCTTCTAAAATACACATTTATAACCATTTTAAAAGTTCTATCTTGAAAAATGCCCAAGATATAAAATAATTTTTAAATGTCACAAACAGACCGACCAACACAAAAATTTAGGCATTTTAGACCCATGCATACTTATATGGAATTTTATGTTTGTCTTAGCCCCAGAAACAAGTCCACAAAATATGTCCAGACAATTTGGAAACACCCTGTATATTTATATACACTATTCTATTTGATAAACTATTGTGTATGCTAGTATTATTTGGTTTTTAATATGTATCAGCAAAAAAGTTCGATTTGTATGTAAAATTAAGTCCTACTTTTCAGTAAAAAGTCCTACTTTTCCTACTTTTTTGAGGTCAAAAACCACTTGGGGGCCTGAATCAAATCTACCTCCGTAATACGTTGTGACCTCTCTCGCGCTTTCGATTGCGATTGTGTTCACATGAAATTTTGTTCCTGAAATTGGGAAAATATGGCCTAGAAGGCAGTGCTCTGAGATTGGTCAAATCCTACCTCAGTGATCGCCAACAGGTTGTAAGTTGGAATGGTATTACATCTAAACCATTAGCTGTAAGACACGGGGTTCCGCAAGGTTCCATTATGGGACCTCTGTTATTTTTAGTAACAATCAATGACAGGGTGTCCACATTCTGGAAAGTCAGGGATAGTCATGGAAAGTCATGGAAAAAAATTTTGGTCATTGAAGGTCAGGGAAATAGGCAATAAGTTATGGAAATTTCCAATTATGGATGGATTTGAGGGGACCATTCAATGCTCTAGTCAGCTGTAACCCGGACTGTTGTAGCATTTTTCAGGATTTTTCACAAATGTTCGACAATTCAATTTATTACAGTTGTATTATTTTATGAGTTTTTGGTTTGTTTTAGTTCATTGTTGTACCTATTGTACTCCATTGTTGTCTGTTATTACATATTTCAGTATTTTCTGCAAAATAACATGTCCAGGCAGTTGTATTTGTGTGTGTTTGTTATATTATAATTTGCGTGTAAAGTTTGTGAGTCATGGAAATCAATGGTAAATGGTCATGGATAGTCATGGAAAGTCATGGAAATTAATGAAAAATTTTTTGTGGACACCCTGAATGACCTCTATACCAGACTTGAAGGTAATTTCATGTTGTATGCAGATGATACTTCCCTTATATCATGTAAAGCGACCTGTGAACAAGCAGAGCTGTCTGTTAAGAAGATTTTTGAGTCAGCCTCAAATTGGTTTGTTGACAATAAATTAGTGCTCAATAATGAGAAAACACAGTACGGTACATAACATTTAGCCTATGTGATTCCCAGATTGTTCCTTTCCAAGAGCCTGTCAAACTCCTTGGTATAACCCTTGACCCCTGTCTCAATTGGAAAGACCACATAAGCCAAGTCTGTACTAAACTAAGTAGAGTAGTAGGTACATCTTTTAAGACGTCTAAGTGACCAATTGCCACAGAGTGCCCTTAGAATGTCCTTCTTTGCATTTTTCCAACCTCACATATCCTATGGGTTAATTTTGTGGGGCCACTCACCCAATGTCGAAAAGATCCTGCGACTGCAAAAGAAGGCAGTAAGGATTCTCTGTCATGCTCACTATAAAGAACACAGTAAGCCCTTGTTTAAGAGACAAAGAATTCTGACAGTTGTAAATATGTATATATTCCAATGCCTTGTTAGTATTAAGAACAGCATGAATGATTTACATGTAACCAGTTCAGTGCACAATCATGACACTAGGTTTGGTTCTAAGCTTGTCATTCCTCGGTCCAGGACTGATAAAAGAGCTAGGTCATACCCTGTTTCAGGAATAAAACTGTTAAATCACCTTCCTGGTCATGTGAGAAATCTGGAAAGAAAGAACTTCCAAACCGCAATATTAGAGTGGCTGATTGAAAATCCTTTTTTCAAATTTAAAGAGTTTTTTGAAACTGTATAGTTAGTTAAGTAAGTTTTCCTCTGAACAGCCTGTTTGCTGTTTATGCATAGTGCATGCATTTTGCATGAACTGCATATTTACGGCATTTTGTTATGCCAGAACCAAGTAAATTCATTGAAAAACATTACATTGCATTAAATTGCAATGATAACATTAGGCCTACATTGTGTAGTGGTGTTAATGTAGTGCAATTAACGTAATATAGGTCTGATACAATTAAGTTTTTTTTTTTAAATAAATATTTTTAGGAAAGCAACTTAACCCAGACTGGGGGGCGGAAAGATTATTGGTCCTAGGGGCGCCAAAATGCTTAATCCAGCCCTGTTAGTATTATAAACAATAATTTTATCTCCATTTAACCTTAATTGATTATTTTAGGTGGTTTATGTTAACAGGAGACAATGAAAGTTGTCAGGAAGTCACTTCATCCCCTCCAAATTGCTGCTGGTGACAAGGAAAACCTTGTTGGAGCTGGGAGGATGCCATCCACTACTGGAGAGAAAGATGGGAAAATCCTGTCTTTGAATAGGTAAGTTAGGAATTTGGTATTACTGTACCTATGTATTGTATATTAAGTAAACCATGGAGGTATCCCTACATCCCTACCTATGCCCTATGGAATATATATTCCCTGGTGGGTCAATCCATTTCAAGTGGTCCAGACGTGGTTGCTTCAAGATTTTTAAATTTTTTGATATTTTTATCCTTGAATGTATATATTAGGCCTACTAGCTGGCCCGACGGACGTCGTCCTGTCCTAATGTGGTTTTATGTTAATGCTCGCTCATTTTCAAGATGATCTTGTTCGCATGGCTCAATCACGTCCTGGTTGATGTTCGTTTGCTACGCTTACTCACGTTTAGGTTGGAGCTCGTTCGCTATGCTAACTTGCCTCCAGGTTGAAGTTCGTTCGCTACGCTCACTCACCTTTTGGTTGCAAATTAGCTGTTATCATAAATTTAAAAAAATAATACTGGAGTGAAAATTTAAAAACGTACGTTTTCAGGAAAAGCACTTTGCAAATTTTTTTCCCCTTTTTTCAAAACTTTTATTATTTTTTTAATTTCATTAACATTTTAAGTTTCATAACATGTCCATGGTAACGCAATATCTTTGGTAGTTTTTTTTTAAAAGAGCATTTTTAGTGGAAAAACACAAAATCCTGTCACGACCATAACAGATGTTTAAATGAATATTAAAAATAGTTAATATTATTTTTATAACTATGTTTTGCTATAAACTAATTTACTTTTATGACCATTATACAATAAAAAGGTCACTGTGCTTTTGGTATATTTGGTCTTTCTAGAAAAAATGAAAAAACTGAAAAAAGTTGAAAAAAAGCCAATAAAATCTTTTTAAGTTAGTATAACTCCAAAAAACTTACCTGAGACCCGAAACATCGTTATGTTTGTATAGAGGTGTGCTTCTTTTGTGTATAAAACATTTAAATATGACGATATTTTAATTTTTGAAATTTTTATGATAGAAATCATAAACGTGATGGTCAGGGACAAGCGGTACGGTCGTGAATTTTCTGAAATAATCTAAATCTTTCTAAACAATCCTTCAATTATACTGTTAGTTATAATAAAAATATGTGTTTCAATTGAACTAAACTGTTCAATTTACAATTATATTAAAGTTACTGTCACGACCAAACACACTATAATCCATAAGGCTGGATTGGTCGTGAAAAAACCCGCGATGGTCGTGAAACTTTGGTCGTGAAATTACGTGTTATTTGGCTCTGTTCTGGCGGTAGCACTGCACCTCATGTTCGAGGATACAAAGTGGACTTCTAGATTAATCTAGCAATTGAAATATCTTATAAACAAAAATTAACACCATGTCTACTTCATCGAATGACTACGTACGGTCATGGACACACCAAAATGACAAAAAACACAATCTTTCCTTCATTAATCTTGTAATTCATCCTTTCAACTCGAAACGACCGGCACTACAATCCTGACGTACACCCCGAACTAGTCTCTAAAACCAACTGACTCCATTGACGCCAGGCTTGCCACTGTCGTGCTCCAAAGTAGAAAATTTTTCCCAAATGGTCGTGAAGCAAAATCGAGGGACAGACTTATTTTGTCATGGTAGTCAGTTTGCAATGACAATAAAATTATAATATGCTCCTTTTTTGTAAGTTTAAGAACCATTGATGACATAAAAATATGGCGTTATATATTTCGGCATGAATAATTAGTCTAAAAACAGCGTGAAAGTTGGAAAATGTACCCTAGGGACACGTCATGGTCGTGAATTTCGAGACTTTAAAAATACTAAAAAAAATACCTAGAACCTATTTAAAACCAAATAAATGTGTGTAACATGTTGCCCCCATCCCAAAAAATATTAAAACACATAATAATAAACTACAAATCCAGTATCTACGAAGTAAAAGGCCAGGGACATGAAAACGTACGTTTTTAAATTTTCACTCAGTGCTGCACCCTGTTGGTAAACCTAAGATTCACTTTTTAATGATGTTGAACATCACAGAATCAAATTGTTTAGTTGAACCAGCTGTTAAGATTCTTTAATTCCATTTAAATATGAGTACTCATAAGGTTAACATGGGAAACTCCAGAGCCACTGGGGTGGAGCCCTTTTGACGGATCTGCACCAAACTTCACACAAACCATCCTTGAATAATGCTTAATAATGCCTGAAAGTTTCATTACAATCTGTCGAGTATTTTCGGAGTCCATAAAGAACAAAAAAACATACAAACAAACATACATTGGATTTTATATATATTTAGATATTAGAATACAAAAATACAATTAGGCTATTTTATTTTTCTACTGTATGGCGGCTATTTTTTTGTTACTCGATTGCCCGTTTTCAGCGATTTCAGAGCTCTGTGTTAAATTACATTTCTATTGATGTCACCGACTATTGCATATTTTCCTAGACAAAAATTGAGAAGAACTGAAGGTAGTGAATTTAGGTTGTCTGGTCCACTAATTAATGCGTCATTAAACGATACACCGTTTGACTTTGCTGCGGCATCAAACACAAGTTTTTCAGGCTTATTAGGATTTGTGACACCAAAGTGAGGTAGGTAGAATGTACGATCAGTGACAATGCTTGCCTCTTCTTGTGTTAATTTTCGTACGTATTCCTTGGTAATATAGTCATTAATTTTTTCGTTGTAGGCCTACCTCTGTCGAAAGTCAACGTCTTTTTCATTTTCTTTTCGACCGTCTTCAGTCTTTTGAGAGCAGTACTATAGCTTGGGGGGTATTTGAAATCATCAGATTTCCATAATAAACCAGTTTTATAATGATCACCGACTTTTATTGTTGTGCATTCTAGCACTTCAATTGCTCGTTTTGTTTCAAACGAACTGACTTCGGGTTGGTCAAGAGTGGTTTCTCCATAATTTTTGTTTTGAAAGCATTCTTTTAACTAGATTATGTAGCTTGTCATAGTTGAAAGTTGTCAGAGTAAAATTTCCATCTATTCTACTATCAAACCTTGCACACTTTCCATGCATAGTCCAACCTAGGTAACTCCATGATAGGATAGGAGAATTGGTAGGTCCTTCTATCACTTTTCTTGTTAAAATAAGAGCTTCTGCATTGTGTTGTCCGATCAAGATAGAGGGTTTGGAGTGTGCTGAAGGAAGGGGCTGGTCAATTGAGTTTAGACAAAACCAAGTCTGTCTAAGTTTTACTGTGTCAAAGTTTTGAAGTGGTAAATCTAGTGGCGACTGTGTCCGGACGTTATCAAGGGTGAATACTTCATCCTCGTAAAGTCCTTTTATTTTTAGACTAACTTTACGAGAGGTAGATTCAAAGTGACATGTTGAGTTTGACCAACAGGTAGTAAAGGGGCTCTATATCTCCTTGACTCCTAACTTGTCGGCTGTGGTAGAGTCAATGAGTGATATTGTTGAACCTTCATCTAAAAGTGCAAAGGTATCAATTTGGCCCTTAGGCCTATAAAGAGTAACGGGACATACCTTAAGCAGAACTTTATTTGTTGTATTTTGTTCTGTGTGTTTACCGGTTATTTCTTTTGTTTTGACAATAGAATAGTAAGAGTTTTTATTTTCATGAGAGGAAGAATAGACAGGATCTTTTTTGGCGTACAAAGGCTTATCAGGTGTAGTGTCTGTATGTAGTAAGCGACTGTGGAATAGTTTACAGTTATTGATACCACAAGCTTTCTTTATTGTACAGAACTTTATTGGGTGTTGGCAAAAACAGTAGAAACACAACTTACTTTCTGCAACCATCTTCCATCTCTCTGCAACACTGGCTTTCCTGAAAGTTTTTCACTGAGCTACAACTATTTGGTCTCCCAGTTGTAGAGTTCGTTAATAAATACTAACTTTGTATCATACTCTTACGTGTTAAAGTGTCAGATTTAGGACGGAAATAAATACTCATGAGTGAGCACTGATTTTCTAACCAACTAGAAAGATCTTTTAGGTCTGGCTTACTTAAAGATAATGATCTTACATGCTGAGCCCAATTATACTTGAGATTATAAGGTAGTTTGTCCATTAGTTCCATCAATAACTGAGGGTTTGTCATATAGTGCTCCATTTTTAAGGATTCAGCTGTCATAGTAAAGTGAAGGACACAAGTGGAGAATTCTATGAGACCATTGATGTCTTCCTCCTTGACTGGAGGTAACATTCTGGTCTTCCTTTGCATTGATTCAAGAATCAACTCTGGCCTGCCAAACCGCATTTGTAAAGTGGAAATCACCGAATTCAAATTTTTTCCACAAACAAGTAAGGGTCTTACCATTTTAAAAGCCTCGCCTTCAAGTGAATTTCTTACTCTGATGAGGTTGACTTCCTCATCAAAGTCAGCCTTTGTCTTTTCATAAGCGGAATAGAATACCGGTACTGTATAGGCCAATCCTCCGGTTTCCCATCAAATGAAGGAAGGTGTTTGCGCAAGGAAGGCGATTTCTACGAAACACTACCCCTCCGTTAATAAAGGACAGATTTTTACAACCGATGTGTCAAAACTAAGTATTTTTCGTGTAGACACCAACTTTCACCAATTCCTGTAATGAAAATCCTTGGTCTTTGCTCCACAGGCCATCAAAATCCCAATGTATTTCTTATGAAGAAAAGATTTTGTTTACTTCAACAAACGAATAATTTGTATTGATTACATCCATTAATAGTAAACACATGATACACAAGAGCGTTCGTTTTCAGAGAGAGTTCTTTTTCAGTTTTCATAACTGGAGTGGAGTGATTGATTACATTATCTAAACTATGACTGTTATTCGTTTTGAAGTTACGCCTGTAATACTTTGCAATTGCTCGATTTCGAGCAACAGGTGCACTAGTTACTATTATTGGTTGTACATCACAAGTTTATAAAACAAGTTGTATAGTGTAAACACAGCTTAACTGACCACATGACGTCCCTCACACACTAAATAATAATTTTAATAACTGACAGACTAAGAGTACTAGTCATTGCCAAACAAACAAAGGAAATTGTATAATCATCATCAGTGCAACACCTTAGCCAATTGAGCTCCCATGCCAACATCAGCTGAGTGGGTCGACTTCCATTTTTCAGTATCATGATGACACTAGCGCTCGTAGGTTGGATTTGGCGCACTACTTGAGAGCCAGTGGGTTAGCAATTAGCAGGATGACTTATCTCGCAGCGAAATGGGGTGACGAGCTACACACATAAGTCGGCAGTAATGGGTTAGGTATAAACACAAAACATAAAACAGAATTTAAGTATTATGTATAGAGGGAGTATTAGTTTTTCTATTAATAACAAAATATTAAAATATATTATAGCCTGCATTAAACTGTCAAAGTGTCAACTACTGGTACATGTGATAACTGGTAAATTAACATAAAATGCTTGACCTATTTCCATTACTTCAACTAAAGTTTACTGTATACAATAGTTGAATGTACAAAGTGTAATGTTAATTTATCATTAATTGTTTTATAGATTCCATTGATGATTTTTATTTGAGGATTTTATAACTGCATTTCTATCCTTAATGTGGTGTGTTTACCTTACTGGTTCATGAGTAAAATCGATTCTCTGTAGTTCTCCGTACCAAACATTGATATACCTAACTCAAAAGTACTAGTTCTTTAAACCTAGCCTGCGCTACATTGGACAGACAACTAACTTAGTTTAGTGGCAAGTTTTTGTGATTAAAGAATTTGTAGTTGGTAATTTAAAAGTGTGGTTGGGGAATGTATCGTTTAGTCAGAAGATTGTGTCAGTTCCCTTTTCATAAGTCACTTAAATTAAAACCAACTAGCCTACATTACAATTAAGATCTTTATTCTGACTCAAATGATAGAGGCTTACTAATTCACTAATTGTACAAAAGACCCCTTTAGCAAGACCAACTGTGACATTGAACTAGTAAGAGCCTAGAATAATCTGTAAGGAAGTTTAAACAACATGGTGTCAGATTTGAACTAGCTCGCTTCCTCTTAATGAAATGTTCTTAGAAAACTTAACTTATGGACAACCCTCGTAATATGTCTCAATGTATACAAACAAATACCATACCCTTTTAGGTATTGATTTATTTTACTGTGTTGTTTCAGCAAGAATAGCAATTCTTCACCTAAAAAGGAGAAACAGAAAGTAAACAAAGTTGCTGATAAGAAGATCGCTATTGAACACGATTTGACCTCAGAAGGTGAGTCTTCAGATGGATTTTAAAAGATTTCTTTTTACTGTTGAAAATAAGAACTAGCAGAACTAGCTTGGGTTATCCGCTTGAAAAGAGAATGAGTGGATGGGCTCATTAAGAAAGATATGATTGCATGTAATGTTTGTCCTGTAGACTTATGCTAATAAACTGTCACATTCTTCTCTTGTAATATTAGCTAATTTTTTGAGTTTGAGCATCAGATATGAATCATTTGAATGAAAGTAAGAGTTCATCACATCTGCATATGTTGAACTGTATCACCTCTTTAGGTGGGTTGGTGAATAGTGATAGTTAGGCTTTACACAGTGCTTGTCTACTTTCATGAGTTATCTCATATTATCTTCATCTTCATTGTCAATTTTTGGTTTTATTATCATTTATATTATGATCTGTTATTAAAGAAGAATGGAGCAAAACTAAATGGTCGGTATGACTGTTTCCGTGATTTCAAATAGCTGATTGTTACACCAATGAAAAGGGCGTGTTTGTTGTGGCAAGGTTATGTTTTGTGTCAGTTGCTTAGTTGAGTAGCACAAAGCTTGCGATCAAATGGCTACTACAAAACAAGGAAAGGAATTTTATGTTTTAGAAATTGCTCGTACAAATGCTATTTTTAGTGCTCAGCGGAACTTTCGGACTTTAGGAAGGAGGCTTCTTATCGGAACTGCATAGCTTGTTGGGTGAGGCAATTCAAGACAACCAGATGCTAGTGTGCCAGGAAGGTTTGGGCCGTCCTCAAACTCTGACAGACACTGTGTAGAGAATCGAAACTAACTTTGCACGGAGTTCAAAAACCTCAACCAGTCACAGGAAATTTCACATACCACAGTCAACGGTTTTACGCAAGCGTTTGAGACTAAATCCTTAAAAACTGCAGTTATTACAAGCATTGATGCGATTACTGACTTTGATTCTTATTTATATTCTTTGATTATGCTGACAGGCTTCGTGATACTCATCTAAGCAACTGAGACCAAGTATAACTTGTCAAAACAATCTTATAAAACATATTAACACGCCCTTTCCATTGGTGTAACAATCATCTGTTTGAAATCCCAGAAACGAGCACCAACTGTTTAGTTGGTGATGTATTTGGTAATATACAAATGTATTTATATTTTGGATCAGAACTTTTGTGAATTATAGAGACATCTTTCTAGTTTAGTCTGATTCCAAATCTGTTTCATTTATTGTAAAACTGTAAAAATATTTACAATTTTTTACAGAAGGCCCAAGTGAGCAATATTGGGAACTTTTGGCAGAAACACGACGTAAAGCCTTAGAAAAGGCCTTGATTGAAAACCAACAACTCCATGAAAAACTACAAAATTTAACAGAAGAAAAAGATAAGTACAAAAGCCTACTGGATGAAGCTCAAATGATTATTGATACACTCAATGTAAGTTTTTGTTAATTGGCTTTGGGCCTCACGGTCAGGTTGAGCAAGGAAATTTAAATAATCAAGTGTGTTTTTTTAGCGAATTTCCCTATAGGGAAGTAGCTATTACCGTAGGTGGCATGGTAAAACTTAGGCCCGGGACCGATTTACTTTTTCATTTTGATGTCTCCAGAGGCAAAAAAAAAAACACAATTCGTCCAAATTTTTATTTATGTATATATATATATATATATAGATTTATATATATGTGTCCGTGAACACGATAACTTGAGTAATTTTTGTCCGATTTGATGAAATTTGATTTGAAGGTGTAAGGCGAGATAAACTTTAATGAGTTCGCGAACCAGCATGATCGGACCATGGGAACGGGGTTTTATGGGGTAAAAATTGGTTTTTCTAATTTTTTACCCTTAAAACATAAAATTCCCCAATTTCTCTCTAGATCTTATTTAAGAGCTTAAAAAACAAATAATTCAGTATATCGAAGTGTTTTTGTACGATTATTGGTTACGGAACTGTAAATTTGGAAATTGGAGAATATTGTAAAATGTTGTAGTTTGCTTGTTTATAGATATATTTTTATCAAACTTGGCAAATTTATTGATTTTATACTAAGCTATAATTATTTTACCAAAAAACACCCTTTATTAGTTTCCTTGTAGCAGCAAACCAATGTACACGTTAAACCTAATCCTACTAATATTATAAATGAGAAAGTTTGGATGTATGGATGTATGTTTGTGACAAGTGAACGCGAAAAATACTGGTCGGATTGGGCTGAAATTTGGCATAATGATAGCTCACATTCCCGATTAACATATAGGCATATTCTTATTTCAAAAATCCTTTCGGGCTCCGCCCCAGTGGCTCTGGAGTTTCCCATGTTAACCTTATGAGAAATGGAATTATTGAATCTTAACAGCTGTTTCAATTAAACAAGTTGGTTCTGTTCTATGATGTTCAATAGCATTAAAGTTACAAGGATTACCAACAGGGTGCAGCACTATTATTTCTTTTACATTTATGATAACAGCTAATTTGCAACCAAAAGGTGAGTGAGCGTAGCGAACGAACTTCAACCTGGAGGCGAGTTAGCGTAGCGAACGAGCTAACCTGAAGGCAAGTGAGCGCAGCGAACGCACACTGATTATAAGTAGCCTACAGTAGAGTAATAGTTAATTGATAAGTGTATGGACTTAGTCAACGATACCACCTTCCATAGCATACCTGACTCTTCCATAATTATTATCACCACAATACAACTACTATACACAATTTCCAGTAGGTCTGAATAGACACGACCTAAAATAAAACGATATAATATCCAATAAAATTCACGGTACACATAAATCGTCACACCTATCCTTTATATCAATTTCACTGCATTAATTGCTAAATAAATAAGTGTAAACAAAGAAAAGTAAAAACAATAACAGTTTGTCTTGAAACAGCTGTTTGGTTCAAATATCATTCATTTGAAAAAAATATCTCACGATTACTAAAAGAACTGGAATGATAGCTCACATTCCCGATTAACATTAAAGCATATTATTATCCCAAAAATCCTCTCAGGCTCCGCCCCAGTGGCTCTGTAGTTCCCCATTTTAACCTTATGGTTTTTCGTATTTAAAAGGAATTAATGAATCTTAACAGCTGTTTCAATTAAACAAGTTGGTTCTGTTCTATGATGTTCAATAGCATTAAAGTTACAAGGATTACCAACAGGGTGCAGCACTATTATTTCTTTTACATTTATGATAACAGCTAATTTGCAACCAAAAGGTGAGTGAGCGTAGCGAACGAACTTCAACCTGGAGGCGAGTTAGCGTAGCGAACGAGCTAACCTGAAGGCAAGTGAGCGCAGCGAACGAGCTCCAACCTAAAGGTGAGTGAGCGTAGCGAACGAGCTCCAACCTAAAGGTGAGTGAGCGTAGCGAACGAGCTCCAACCTAAAGGGGAGTGAGCGTAGCGAACAAACTTCAACCAGGACGTGATTGAGCCATGCGAACGAGATAATCTTGAAAATTAAGAAGTTAAACGGGGCAAAGCCCGCGGGTTACAGCTAGTGTTATATAAAATAGATTAATTGCAGGCAAATGGAAATTCGCTCTTACGGCAGGTTTGCTGCGGCGGTGGTATAGTAAATTGTTAATAACTTGGTTTAAAAAAAGCTTGTACATCTGTAAACAAGCAAACGATCAGTTTACTTATTCTTCATAATAAGAATAACATAGAAATTTGCAATTTTTAGTTTTTGGAATTTTAGAACCTTTTGGCATACAACAACAACGCTTCAATACACTACAATGTTTTGAGAGAATCTGCAAAAAGTAACATTTTTAGGGTCAAAATGGGAAAAACTAATTTTTATCCTATAAATCCCATTCCCATAGTCCGATAATGCTGGTTCCCGAACTCATTGAATAAATGTAGGTTTACACGTTTTACCAGTTTCATCAAAATTGGATGATTTTTATTTGAGTTATCTGTCACACAAACACACATATAATTATAATATGTAAATGAATTCAGTGCGGTATTTCCCTACCAGCTGACATGGTGGTTGCTGTAGCCAAGGGGCCCTCACAGCCTAAAAGGAAATTCAGAGGGGTATTCAAAACTCTTTTAAGTAGTAAGACTTATGATAATTTTTCACTCATGAGATCTAAACTGGTTCTCTTCAGGTAACCTATTATTAGAAATATGTCTTATTAAAATGTGTTGTTAAAAAAAATTACCTATAGTTTTCCAATGATTAGTTGGTACAGTGGAACCTGGATAATTCGAACTTCTTTAATTCGAAATCTTCTTTAATTCGAATTTTTCCCGTGGTCCCTAGCATTTTGTATTAAAACAATGCTAAAATAACGTGGATAATTCGAATTTTATTTTGGATAATTCGAATTTTTAAGTGCCAAATCATTAAATTATTACTCTAAATATATTCAAAAATAATAAATAAAAAACATATTCCAAGCCACATTTGACGAAATGTTTGCGTTAGAACAAGTGCCAGCCCTCGCGCGCCTGCGTTTAGTCTGATGACTCATACCTCCCCTCCCGCCACCGCCCTACAGGTCATTGTACCCTACACTCCCTTCCCCTTTCTCCTCTCCCACCCACCACCACTGACCTCTTTTCAGTGTCGCATTGTGCGTGGTCTGTATCGGTTTGCGTGAAGGCCGTTACCTAACGTAGTTTTGCTGTTGTCTTAGACTTTTAGTTTCAAGTGATTACGTGTACAGTACTGTAGTTTTAACGTACCGTACTGCACTACTGTATACATTAACTTTTAGTGAGTGTAACTGTGTAGTGATCATGGCATCAACCTCATCGAAAAAACCAGGGTCTTATAAAACTTTGACATTAGCTGAAAAAGTCGCTGTGATCAAAGAAGTGGAAAAAGGAGTCAAGAAAAAATCTGAAATCGCGAAAGACTTTGGAATTCCACCCAACACCTTATCAACTTACTTAAAAAATAAACATAAAATTCTCAGCAGTGCAGAGGAATTTGATAAAGACAGGAAACGATCGCGAGAGCCAGGAAATCCGGATGTCGACAATTGTGTGCTTAAATGGTTCAAGCAGACCAGAGACAAGAAAGTTCCTGTGAGCGGTCCTTTGATTAGAATCAAGGCTGAGCAATTTGCTAAAGAATTAGGGAAGCAAAACTTTAAAGCTAGCACTGGGTGGCTGGATGGTTTTAAGGAGCGCAATAAAATTTTGTTTAAGGCAGTGTGTGGTGAAAGTGGGGCGGTGAACCTGCAGGAAGCTAATCAGTGGAAGAACGATCTGGAAGAGATGATCCAGGACAGAGACCCGAGAAATATTTTTAACGTTGACGAAACCGGTCTTTTTTTCAAATGCACGCCCGATAAAACACTTGCATTTAAGGACGAAAAGTGCCACGGGGGGAAATTAAGCAAGGAGAGAATCACGCTATTGGTTGGTGCTAATATGGATGGTTCGCAAAAGCTGCCTTTGTTGATGATTGGAAAATCGGCCAATCCTCGTTGCTTTAAAAATGTCAAGTCTAAGCCAGTAGAATATGTAAGCAGTTCTAAGGCTTGGATGACAAGTGACCTTTTTGCGAAGTGGCTAATGAAGTTGGACAAACGGTTTGTTAAAGAAAATCGACAGGTTCTCCTTTTCATTGACAATTGCACGGCACACAACACCATACCTGTCATGGAAAATGTCAAAGTGGTTTTTTTCCCAGCCAACATGACCTCTGTTGTCCAGCCCATGGATCAAGGGATCATAAAAAACTTGAAACACTTTTACAGGGGTTTGTTGGTCGAGAATATCCTGTCCGGGGAAGGAAACGCCCTCAAAATAAAGCTGGACATTTTAGAAGCATCGCGAATGTGCAAACAAGCGTGGGACAAAGTGAAGCCGGAAACAATAAAAAACTGCTTCAAAAAGGCAGGTTTTGTTAAAACCGACGAAGAAAGCGCCGAAGAAACTGTAACGGACGAAACTCTACCAATCGACGGCTGGGAGGATGTGGCACCCAATCAAACCATCTTGTACGAGGACTTTCTTAATGTAGACGAAAATGTCGCTGTGTGCGGTGAATTAACTGACGCCGACATCGTAGCAGAAGTCCTCGACACCGAGGAACAAAATGACGATGGATCGGGGGACGAGATCGTCGGGTCACCGGCCGATGAAGAAGAAACGCCAGTACCGAATGCAGCCGACGCCATGACCTACCTGAGAGAAATTCGGCGATTTGTGGAGAGCAGAAATGATGTCGGTGATGTACAGTTTAAATCATTAGATGTTTTAGAATCATTTATCATGGCCGAGAGATTAAACTCAAAGAAACAAGCCAAAATCTCTTCTTTTTTTGTAAAACAATAAATTAGATTTGATATGTTTTTTGTTTAACAATCAGTCAATACGGTCTCCAAACTTTTAGTTCTCTTTGGCCGATATTTTTCTATTTCTGTCCTGTTGTCCTGTATAGGGCCTATTTTGCTTAATATTTTGCTTTGGACTATTGGTAATCGTGTGAAGTTTGCGTGCAGTTCAGCTATTGCTGAGGACATTTTAAGGTTAGTTAATTTTAGTTTTGTACATAATTTCGTTGTCGTTTGAGCGATTGCAAGTTATTTTTATTGTATACTATTACTGTAATAGGCATTATTCAATAAATTAATGTTCAAATAGTATCAATAAAGTTAATAGTTTGAATTTAAAACGTGTTTTTATTGTTTACGGCCCTGGTTATAAGAACTTATTTAATTCGAATTTTTGGATAATTCGAAGTTTTTAGCTGGTCCCTTGAGGTTCGAATTATCCAAGTTCCACTGTATTAATAAATCTGAGTAATATTTGAATCAAAGTAATTTGAATTGAAATCTGTTTCAGGAAATAATTGGAGAAATGGGCAATGAAGACGACAGTAGAAATGATGAAGAAGAAATGAGCCGTCGAGCATAAGGTGATAAAAGTTGAATGCAGTGTTGGCCCTTCATTTTCTTTGACTATTTTCTTTAAGACTTTTTTTTTATATATTTCTTAAAATAGTTCTTTTAAGTTTGTGGTATTCCATTACAAATCAAATAATGTCTTAAAAATATGTTTTTGATGGGCTATTGAATTGTGAACTTAGACTTTGGTTTTTTTAGTTACAGTAATCATTGACTGTTAAAAATCAATTCATCACATGCTTAGTACAAAGGATTTGTTGGTTAGGCCTAAGTAAGTGTTTAGTTTCCCTTAGCTCATTTTCATTAGGAGTATTACAAAATTGTATGTATTTTTTTAAACTTTTGCTATTAATTGAAATGTAATAACTGTTTGTTTTTAATAAAGTTGACTGTATAATACTTTTATTAGGCAAATCGTTTGAGCTACAAAGTTATTTTGTTCAGACTTTTAACTAGAGATGGGCCGATACCGTTACCGATACCACCAAAGTACTCTCGATACCTATCGATACCGATACTTCCGATACCTATCTTTTTTGCACAGTTAGTTTCTTCCACTAATAATATTATAAACTGTTATACCATAAAAAACACAATATGTATGTGTACCAAACTTATATTTTGGTGTTAAAGGTTTATTATTAATTGCAAAAAACAATTGCAAAAATATGGAACTAAGTGTTTATTTTAAAATAGGCCTACTGTAAATGTTTGAATTTGACTAAAGCACGAGATCTAATAAAGTTTCCTCTAATTTATAAATAGGCTTATATAAGTATTTATCTGTCATTTGTCAGTTTTTGTATTTATTTGAAATTGCATCAATTGTATTAGTTAACTCATTAAGCTATAAATTAAAGAAAAAATTACGTACATCTTGGCCTACAAATACTCTGCAAGTTTTTTCCCTAAGAGAGTAAAAACGAACTTCCTATATAATGACAGTTTCTCACTAGTTGTATGAAAAACAGCTATATATCTTCAAAATTTGTTTATCTATGAAAAAGACACCAAGTCTAGCTGAAAACACATTCATAAATGAGGATATTTTTGAAATACAGAATAACTAATCAACAACCTTTCTATTTTTAACACTTTTATTTCTTAGCTTTTCTTCCTTGAAAATGTCAACGCAGTTTTTCACTTATTTTTAATAAAGATTATCACATATAATTTCTCGAAAGAAATCTACGTGTGAGCTATGAAGAGCAGACAAGAGACATATGTCACTGCCACAAAAACTATTCTCTACTGTAAATGAATGAACTGAGTGTTTATTAGTGTGAAGCCCCGTCCACCGTCTAACGGGACTTAGGGTAGGAAAGAGAAAGTTTGCTCTAAAGCCTGGTTCTGGTTCACATGCCCTCCCTCACCCTCGGCCACAGTCGCTTGCAGATTTCCATTACACAAAAGTTTCTGAGTGTTAATTATTTTAAAACACTGTAAATGTTTGAATTTAACTATGTTGAGATCTAATAAAGTTTCCTCTAATTTGTAAATAGGCTTATAAGTATTAATTTAAGTCATTTGTAAGTTTTTGTATTTATTTTTAAAAGCAATTGCAGTTATACTTAAAAAAAAAATACATACATCTTGGCCTATAAATACTTTTTGTAAGGAGAGTCTTTTCTCTAGTAAATAAAACAATCGTGGTCAAGGAATGACTGTGCTAAAACAGCACATTGTCAATTTTTCAAAAAGTATTTTGACTGAAACCTGGTAATTTTAAAAAAACATTGTAGAATAAGTCGACGTCTGTGGAGAAAAGTATGGCAATAGATGGTTTTTACTTTTAGCCTACAATAAAGATTATGTTTTGGGACTAGAATCTCCAAAAGAGTGCTTTTATAAAACATGCCATAGTTTTATTTAGTAACAAAAGTGTTTGACTATGTTCCCGATGATACCAAGAGTGAAGAGTATAGGTTCGGCAGAGTGGATTCACTGTGAACCGGCCTGCCTGGCCCTTATGCACGATGTCACTATAACCTCCGTGTAGGGGTCAACAATGGATCGGAACAATCGATGTTTTGAACCTGTCTGTAACCCAGTTTTTATACTTTAATACTCATTATTTATAAACAAACACGTCCTACATATCGGATCTCGAATCACGATATTTATCGATACCCTTCTCACCCACAATAAGCACATAAAACGATGTCTAAGCAATCGTCATTTGCTCCATTGAAACACGAAAGTCGATTGGCTGACATGTTCGTGCATTGTCGCCTCCTGACCAATGAGAACTGTTGTTACATACTATTGTCAACATTCACTATTCGTTATAACATTACAAAATCGACATGGACTAAGGCTTATGATATTTTTCAATAAATACATTATGTCATAGTAGCACTTAAAACTTCACTAAACTCTTCAATCAGGTAGATAGTACAGATAAATATGGACCTACTTTTTGGCGTAATATAAAGCAAGCCTAACCATACGACGATGACAATGTTAAAGTTTAATGGTTGAATATAATTTTTATAATGATGCGTATAATGCAGGGATGAAACTGAACATTTCGACCTAGTTTAGGTTATTTATTTTGTACTAAAAATAAAAATAATACATCTAAATGTCTGACTTATTGATACAGACATTGTTTAGTATAATTAATTTCGTGTGGCAGGACATTCGCGCGCCGGTTGTCTCATGAGTTGAGTCTGACATCTTGAAATGTAGATTGTGTTGTGCAATGAGCTGAAGCTAAACAATGTCACCGGCACCGTCGCTGTTTTGAACTAGATAGTTTCTAAGTTGGCTATGAAAATTGTTAACCGTGATTGTGATTACAAAACTAATACTGTAGCTATAAAGTAAATAAATGTTGAAATAAAATATTTATCCCTGTCGGGTGTGGTATCATCGGAATCGACTTTTGACAATCGAGTCTTGGTACCGATACCAATGTCCAAGTGGTAACCAATGGATGGTGGTATCGATGACGATAATCGACACATCCCTTTTTAGAACTGAATCGTGACCAAATCGATGCATGCTGGATCGAATCGGTATTCGATGCATCGAATTGAAATTTCAATGCATCGCACTCGCTGACACCACTACATATCACTATTAACCAGTGTCAGCTGTCGCTGTCAGCGAAATGGATGACGCAAGCGATGTCTAGGTTGCCGATTATTATTAGACCTAGTATGTCAACATTGAAAGGGGTTAAGGGATTAAATAAAACTCAAACATTTTCCTCTCTTGTTATTTACTTGTCAAATATCAACAAAATCGGCTTAACCTCTACTACTCGACTCGAGTTGCGAGTATATTTAACTAAGTAGGCAAACAGCTAGGATTCGTAACGGCAACGGCAATTTACCCGCTCTGAACTGACTTAATCCGCACCGATTCATAGCATTCAGTGGTTCAGTGTCAGTATCGGTATCGAACCCAAAACACGCAAGTATCGAGTATCGGTATCGGCCCACCTCTACTTTTAACTTGTTATGTCTTTTGCATCATCATGAAATGTTCATCCACTACCTTGTGTTGGTCGTCCTGTAATCCAGCTACTAGGAGGTTACAAATTGTGGATATTTATAGGCATGCACTGTGGATGCGGTACTCTCTGGTGTGGATCAACGTCCGCAGGAGTGAGTACTACGACTATCCACAGTACTATCCTGAAAATTAGACTAATTCGTATATACCAAGGCAAAAATTTTGTTCGGATTCCACTATCAACAGTAGGTCCCTTAGTAACAGCTAGCTGTGTCTAAGGAAAAAGTCTGCCAAAGTCACTTACAAGATCACAAGATCGCGCCACTCATCCTACACACATCTCCATTCATACTTGGCTTTAAATACCTACTTTGTATGGTCGACATTTCATCAAAAAGTATTAAAGTAAAGTACCTTCCAGTACTGATGTTGTGAGATGATTGACAGACAGTAAACCCTTCAAGACAGTTAAACAAATTAAGCTTGTCATGGCTTTGGCCGTCTGGAGTGTGTTAATCTCACCTGTGTCCCATTTAAGTTGGGTAATTTATATCGGAATTGTCAATTGTGGGAGTGAGTCGATTTTGGAGCTGACCCGAGCTTTTGCAATCACAAGAGCTGTTCAATAATTCGCCGCGACCGCATTTGTTATCACAATTTCACTTCGACCGCAGGGAATCATCACAAATTCGCTATGACCGCAGAAGATGTTAATGATTCTGCTGTGATTGCAGGAGATGTCTACTATTTCATGTAAGTGGATCGCGACCTTGAGACATCACAATTTTAAAACAATCAATGAATCAATACTTCCCTAAGCAACCCTATTTTGGCTTAAGACCCCAAGTTAAACTGTGTGATTATAATTTAATTCATGCTTGCTGACTAGATAGTCATACTCTGCCAGCTTTTGAATTGTTACACCCAGACTTGGGAAAGTTACTAAAAAATGTAACTGATTACAGTTACAAGCTACATGTTCAAAAAGTAACTGATTACAGTTACAAGTTACGTGCTGCTTCTCGTAACTGATTACAGTGTCAAGTTACATGCTCTATTTTCAAGGGATGTGATCTCTGAAATCGGAAATAAAATTCAATTCTTTTTTACCAAACCGATATGCTCAGAAAGTTCATAACGTATTTGGTTTTTCCTAGATATTACAGAAGATTGAAAAAAATTAAACTAAAATAAAATAATATCTATTAATACAATACAATATCTGAATTATCTGGGTGATCTTGAGTCTGCTAATATACATTTTTACTGTTGAACCAAAATGGAATAAACAATTCAAGCATAATTGTTTAAAATTATTGATATAATTCATGATCTATAGGAATCAGATTTTTAAAGCGTTTTTAGGTAACCCTCAACAAATAACTACTAACTAAAAATACAACAGTCATTTTGGTACATAAGACCTTCCACACTTTGAATATAAATACTGTAAGAGGAAAAAGAAGAATTTAAAAAAGCGTTGGTCCAAGACCACTGGAGATTTAATGTAGTTTTGGCTTTTGACAGGCTGGATAGGGATGAAGAGAAGGTAATTCAAGTAGCCTAGTTTAGTTCATTGATGGTAGTGTCTCGCAGAAACTGCTTTGTGCTTAGATAATAGAATATAATGTGCTTGTAACTATTTTATCTTTAATCATAAATCAATAAATGAGGATTTATTTTGTTTATTCTTAGTTCCTTAATTTGTAAAAATATTTTTGTACAGTTATATCATAAGACATCTTTAAGACAGGCTTCATTTTTATCTATAATGAAATTTAAAAAAATTATATATATTTAAATATTTAGTTTTCATTATTTTGAAAACCTCTTTAAAACAGTACAATTAATACTGCATAGAGTCTGTGTGGTTTAAACCTATTTATATAAAAAAAAACAATGTTTAGTACAGCAATCTTGTTATAAATTTTAGAATTTCGGTA